TGCTTGTTAACTTTTGTTTTTCATTATTTTAAGCTTAATTTATTCCCGAGCCATGAGTTTTTGCTTCTTCAGTTTCTTCTGGGAAATCTTTTTCTTCTGTGCAACCTCCTCTTCTGGTTTGGGAACGATCTGTTCCTTCTCAGTCAGGATCATGTCAGTGTGGCAGGGTGCTCAGGGATGGGTTGACCCGACCGTGAGCTCTGTTTGTGAGTCCAGTAGCGCATCTTGGGGGCTTTGTCCACCTGGATGTGCTCAATGGCCAGCGAATCCACATCTAAACCCTTCGGTTCAGCGTGACTTTCTGCATTTTTAAGCCTGTGAAGCAAAAATTCAGCACTCTTTTTGGGCCACCGCCCCTGGGTCCAACCCCACTGTTTGGCCTGGGCACACCGACCAACACCACCATTGTTGCGTCGGAAAGGCACACCTGCTTCTGCACAGTCACGTCTTTCAGGTGTTTGCTGCCTTTCCGGATGTGCATGCCTTTGATGGCCCGGGCAGTTTCACGGGTGTTCTGGAAGTGGACCCGGAGGTTCGACCTTCTTGATTTGCAGGATTTTGTGGGGTTTTCTGGGTCGAGTGAGTAGCGAACCATTTTGGCAGGTCACCTCAGGCCGCTACAGTTAGAGCGCCTCTTGTCTTTCTATATGAGTGAGCTCATACAAGGGCTGTCCTTTTATGACTGGCTGGCTGTCACTTGGCATAAGTCTTCATGCACTACTCGTGTTGTAACATGTACCAAGTCTTCATTCCCATCTCTAGCTGAGTAGTAGCCTGTGGTGTGGGTGTTGGAAGGGGTTTTTAAGTGGCTTTGACCATTGAGGTGACCATGCTCAGTTTACAAGGGTGGACTGACTGCCTGTACGTAGGCCTTGTGGTTATATTTTAAGAACATACTGAAAAAAAGAGCGTGTGCCCTTTATTGGGCCTCCCTATTTTTGTGTGTACTCAATCTTAGAAATTGATTTCCGTGAGTGAGCTTAAAGCTCCCAACTGCCTTGCCAAGTTTCCTACTCTGTCCTTTGACCTGTAGTGTCAAATCCTTTGATGCTGAAGGCACTGTGTTCATGTAAATAGGCTGCTTTTCTTGGTGACAAACACTCTTAAGAGAACAGTGCGTTGCTGTGCGGGAGACGGGATGCTGTCAGGGAGCGGTCATTTGTGACGCTGTTGTTGAGATGTAGTGCTGTTAGTGCCACTGTGTCGGTTCTGACTCAGCAACCCTGTGTCCAAGAGAATGAACACTGCCTGCTCCTGTGTGCTCCTCACAGCGCTGATATTGGAGCCCGTTGTTGCAGCCACTGCGTCCATCCCGCTCGTGCAAGGTTTCCTCTCTGTGCACCGAGCACAGCATCCTTCTGCAAGGACTGCTCTCTCCTGACCGCATACCCAAAGTACACGACGTAAAGCCGTGCCACCCTTGCCTCTACGGAGCATCCTGCCTGCACTTCTAAAGAGACAGATTTGTCTGTCTCTCTGGCAGTCCATGGTGCGTTCCCCATTCCTCGTCAACACCCTCGTTCAAGCGCATCCATTCTGCTTCCTGTTCACGGCCAGCTTTCACGTGCACACCGGGCCATTGAAAAGGCTGGCTGAGGGTGGAGGACTGGGCGATCTGAATTTAGTCTTGCCTTCTTGGCTTAACTGTAAACCCAGGATCAGCGTTCTCAGCATTTGGAAGCGAGTATTGGTGTTCTTCAGCTTGTCACTTGGTACACCACTCTCCTCCTAGACCCCTTTTACAGACTTAGGGGTTTTAAGGAAAATGTTTAAAAGAGGAGATGTGGCTGGCTACATTCATTTTCTCTTATCCACTTAAAACTAATCTGTGGCCCCTGCTCTTCCCTTTGTGATAATCTTAGCCAAGTGGTAATTATACAGTAATATCAGTGTTTGGGCCTATTTGGGGGAACATTTAAAACCAAAAGAACTGAACCCATTCCCATCCAGTTAATTCCGATGTTCACCGACCCCTTGTGGTGTTTCCTTGGCTACGAGTCTGCACGGGAGCAGACAGCGTCATTTTCTCCTGTGCGGAGGCTGGTGGGTTTGAACTGCTGACCCTGTTAGTAGGCCAGTGCTTAACTGACAGCACCACCAGGGCTCTAGAGTTGATCTGTTATATGGGAATTTTGTAACATTGACCTACGTGCACTGTATTTGGTTGTTGACATAGGTTCGTTTTAATTCCTGCAGCTCCTTGAGGGAGAGGCTATGGATTTCTATTTAGTATCTACCTATTTCTATATTTAGATGTGGTAACCGATTCAGAGAGGGTAGGTTGCCTGCCTGCGGGCTAACATAGTCTTGGATCTAGAAAAATAACCAACAGAGATGAAGAATTCATTTTCATTTCCCTGTGGTGCCCTGGCATAATGAAGGCGTCAACATCTCTTTTTTCTTACAGAATAAGCAAAGCAAAGAAGAAATCCGAGGGGTTGACGCAGAGCATGGTAGACAGATGCATTCAGGTAAACAGCTGCTTCACTGCTTCCTTGGCGAGCCTGGCCTTTCTTTCTAACCTCGTAGCTGTGCTCCAGTTTGCAGCAGCCCCTTAAGTTCTGGTGGTGGGTAAAGAGTGCCTGTCCACTGGGGCCTCTGGGAGGAGGACTGTGTCATCAACGAAGATAAGGGGGAAGGTGGAGAGAGAGGAGGAAAAAGTGACAGGGCGTAAAGAGTAAGGGGTGAGGAAAGCATTGGGGAGGTGGGGTTTAGTGTGGGGGGAGTGGTAAAATGGGCGGGCGTACCTGGTCTGGGATGCCTCTCACAGATGGGAATCAGTAGGGGCACCTTGCAGAGCCCTTTAAAGCCGTGGGTTTGTGTCAGGCTGTGTTTGAGTGTGGAGGGAGTGGTACATCTGCCCACCAATGCTAAGGTGAAGGTAATGCTGTTTTGAAAATATCCAGGTGGGCTTCTTTCCAGAGTAGGGCTAATCTGGTCTTGGCTCCTCTACCCACCAGGATGAGATTGTGGACTTCCTGACTGGAGTGCTGACTCGTGCTGAAGGGCACGTTGGCTCTGAGCCTCGGGATCAGGACGCCGAGAAGAAGAAGAAACCCCGAGACGTAGCCCGCAGAGACTTGGCCTTTGAGGTCCCTGACCGGGGTAGTCGGCCTGCCTCCCCTGCCGCGAAGCTGCCCGCGTCACCCTCGGGCTCAGAGGTAACGCATGCAGGGAAGGTGGGAGCATTTGTACTGATGACTCAGGACTGCCTTCCCCCCTTGTCCAGGTTGTAGGTCTTTGAGATCCTGTGAGGAGTTCCTGGAACCAGGCTGTTCCAGGGTCCATGCTGACTGACGGTGAACTCAAACAGTGTTCTCCACTCTCCTGTCTTTCCCGCCCCACTCAGGACCTCTCCAGCGTGTCCAGCAGCCCCACCTCCAGTCCCAAGACCAAAGTGACTACAGTGACTTCTGCCCAGAAATCCAGCCAGATTGGGAGCTCTCAGGTGCTGAAGAGGCACGTGCAGCGCACAGAAGCTGTGCTGACCCACAGGCATGCTCAAGGTAGGTGCCCGGGCCGGCAGCCTCTCGGGTTCTCCAGCAGTAGTTTGATGCCCCATGACGGGGGAAATACTGGCAGCCATAGCACTCCTGAGGGTGCGGGGGCCACCCTCGCCACTTTGTCTGTCCAGGTAGAATTAGGATGAAGAGAGCATCACGGGCCGTGTGCTGGTAGCCCTGAGTGACAGCTTTGACTTGGCGTCCTAGAGAAGAACTCGTCAGGCTGTAACTGGCTGAATGCAGTTTGGCCACAGAGTTCTCTAACTCTGTTGGAGAAGCTGCGACTTCTCTCATCCAGGCACTGCCTTGTCGCGCCCGCAGGAGTGCTCAGGGCATGGGTGTGTGTGTGTGTGTGTGTGTGTGTGTGTGTGTGTGTGTGTGTGTGTAGCTGGACTTTGCTCCTGAGCTGTGTCCAGCGTGTACCAGTGTGTGTGTGTGTGTGTAGCTGGACTTTGCTCATCAGATGCTAGGGCAGCTCAGCTGGCATTATACCCTTGAAGAGTTGAGAGTCTATCCCTAGGTCTTTAGATTTAGGCTGGGAAATGTGTGTGTCTCTGTATGGATGCAATCCCACTTTTGAGCGCAGCAAAGTCTCCGGAGGAAGGTCTAGAAAGTCAGTGGGCAGGTCAAGACAGTGCCCAACTTGATCCAGCTGGGCAGGCCCTGGTGGGAGGCCTCTTGAGCATGGTTTCTGATGATGTGTCCAGCAGCGGCCCCACTGTGGGCTCTCCGGGGAGTGGGGGGCCTGGGCAGACTGGCTGTTGAACAGAAAGGCAGGGAGGTGACTGGAGGCTGACCTGCGCGTGCCCCTTTTGTTTCTGCTGGGGCTGTGAAGCTGGGAATCTGAGGGAGAGAGCAGCAGCCATAGACCCCTGACTTGGGCAGAGCTGGTACACAAGGTGGAGGCACGAGAATGGCTAACGTTGACAGAGCCCATGACCCACTGTGCATGGGAAAGACGCAGCAGTCTGCCTCTGTAAAGAGTCACATACTTGGAAACCCTATAGGCCAGTTCTGTCCTGTCCGATAGGGTCACAGTGAATTAGTTGTCATTGGCTCATGACAGTGGGCTTTTGGGGAGTGAGGGGGTGAGGGGCGGGGAGTTTTATAAGGCCTCCCTGTACACCACACTCGCTTTCTTTAGCCCTCTGACTCTTGGCAAAAGGCCCACAAGTCGGGTTCGAGTACACGTTGTTCACTCAGGGGTGACTTCACTGAGCAATGAAGTGGCAGAGCCATGTCTGACCCCCCGCAGGAACTCTTGAAAGAGCCCCTGGATCACACTGGCCTCCAGCTGTCTCACATCCTCCCCCACCCCTACCCTTTCTATGGCTGGCTGTGATCCTGTGATTCTCTCTGATTCATTCCAGCACAGTTTGCTGCTTTTCTGAGACAGAACATGCTGGTGAGGAAAGCTCTTCCTCCCGGCACCTCCTCCTGTCTCTTTGGTGAGTATTGCTCTCTCGCTTTCCCTCTCTCTCTCCCCTCTCTCTCTCTCTCCCCTCTCTCTCTCTCTCTCTCCCCTTTCTCTCCCACCTGCTCACCCTCTGCTTTTCTCGCCATCTCCCTCCCCTGCCTTCCCTGTGGGTGGGGATGCTTGTGAACTCTGCTTGCTCAGCCCACCCTTCCTGTCTGCTGCTCCTGCAGCTCTCGTTTGTCCCCTCCTTTTTGTCCCCTCACTGTGGTTCTTGGCCTGTGTCTCTGGGTGCCTCTGACCCACTTCCTGTGAGCCTACGTTGCTTGTACAGTTTGTTCTCTGACGCTCTGTTCCTGGTTCCGGCCAACCAGCCACTCAGCAGCAGGAAACCTGTCAACTCCTTTTGCCTCAACCCTCCTTCCTGTTGTGATTTTAGCCAGGCATTGGCACACTCCTTCTGCAGTCCTCACAGCCCAGCTGGTTATGCGGGGGTCCGGGGTCCTCCCTCTGGTCCCCCACCAGGTCCCCTTCGTCCTCGGGTGACTGCCACCCACGCCCAGCCCTGCCCTGACCCTGCTTGCTTATGCTGAGACGTGCCAGTCGGTGGGCTTCTGGGTTCAAGAGGAGAGAGTCTTGAGTAACTGAGGGCCCAGGCTCTGTGTGGACAGAGTGCCGCTCTCTGTATTCGGACAGGTGATTGCGACAGGTCCTTGCGGCCTTGGGCTTGGAGCTGTAATGTTGTCTGGGCTGAGATGCTCGACTCAAAGTCAGCCCCAAGCCCCCTGCCTCCAAATGGCAAATAAGCCCGCAGCCTTGGGCTCTCTGGGCAGTGGGGACTGGGTGGCCTGCTTCCTCTTGGGCTCTTTGTGGAATGTTTGCTGCCCCTAGCTGTGAGGAGGTGGAGCTGGAAGTGACCGTGGTTGGGTTTTGGACTCTAGGCACTGTGCGCCCCACTGGGGAGTGCTCTGGTTTTTGTTGGCCTTTGTTAGTCAGGGTCGGGGTGTTCCTCCCTCCATTCCCCACCAGCTCAGGGCCCCCTACTTCTGACTCCAGGGGCGATAGAGCCATCTTCTGAGAGGGCTCGAGCAGGATTCCTCCGTAGATGGGACCTGAGTGAGGTGGGACTGAGGCGATGACCGACTCCTGCAGAGGGGGGTTGTTCCTCTGTTAGGGGTGGGGTGCCAGCTGTGGACGTGCCTGTGCCCCTCGGTTCCCTCGGGGTGTGTGGGAGCTCACCTCACCCCTTCTCTCAGTGCCCGTCTCATCAGAACAAGCGGAGGACACAGAGAAAGAGGATCTGCACGTCCAGCTGAAGCGGCACCTTCCCTCCAGCCCTCTTTCTGGCAGTAAGGCCTCCAAGCGGCCGAAGATCAAGGTGTCCCTTATCTCCCAAGGGGACGTGGCGGGCGGGCAGTGCGTCCCTTCCCAGGGAGGCGCTCCAGAAGGTGAGCTTCCTTCTCTCAGCTTCCTGAGCCAAACCCTGTCTGAGCTGAGCTCTCGTGGGACACAGGACGCCCTCTGGGGAGCCACCTGTGGGTGTCCCTGGAGCACAGAAGGCACGAGACACACGTGGGGAGAAAGTGACCTGCCCCTGCTGAGCGAGAATTGTCCTTGTCCATATTACTGAGCATTTACCCCAACTGTTAACTCTGAAAGGTGGGGGCTACACAGGGCTGACCAGAGGCCTTGGGGTTTTGTGTTTTGCAGCCCCAGGAGGGAAGCCCAGCGCTGTGACCCTGGGCCAAGCATCCGCAGGGGCCAAGGAGCTCACAGGGCTTCTCACCACAGCCAAGTGAGTGCTGCGTTTCTCTGTCTGCTCCACTCTCCGTGCTTCTGAAGTCTGTCCGTGAGATCTTCCTAGACTGCAAGCTTTGCTGACTCTGTTGAGCAGCACAGCAAGCTTCCCCTGGCAGACAGGGGTGGTTCTACTTGAGGGGAACTGGCCGGGAATCAGACTCAGGTTTCCCTGTGGCAGGCAAGAATTCCACCACTGGCCACCACTGAGCCACATCTTAGAAGGATTTGGGAGGTGGGATGGAGAAACCAGAGGTTCTAGCTTTTTCTGAAAGCCTTCCTCGGCCCTCCTCCCCTGTGTTAGGGTCGGCTGCCCCCTGACCTTTGGGTGCTGGAGTTCCTTTCTTTATCTCCAGGTCAGCTGCTGCTTGTGAAGGGAGCCTGGCAGCCAGCCCCTCGGCCGTCTCTAGCAGCACTGCGCCCAGTGCCCTGCACACACTCCAGAGCCGCTTGGTGGCCACCTCTCCGGGCAGCTCCCTTCCAGGTACCGTGTGACCTGTAGTCTCTCCTGCCCAGAAGAAGGGAGGCCGGAGGAGAGTGCCCGGAACCGACTCTGAAGGGTGCTCTTCTGGATTGCAGGCCTGTTGGGGAGGCTTGCCACGGAGCTGAAGGGGTGTGGGACATGTCCCCGTCTGCTGGTGCTGGGCCCTGCCCCATATGAGGGGTAGATAATCCGTGGGCTACTTTGTATCTCATCTTGGTGTTTCACAGGCACCATTGGATGGAATGAAACCCTGGTGCCAGCCAGGAGCACAGCTAGACCTTTTTTGTCTAGGCTTGTCCTCTCGCTCCTCCCGTCCCACCCCTGCTGGAACAGCTCGTGACTCACCTGAGCCCCGCTGGCTTAAAAACTCCCTTCTCGTCCCTAGAAAGAAAGGAGGGAACTTAAGATTTCTGAGAAGTAGAGTTCACTCTCTGTAAAGTTCCCAGAACGTGGGGCAGGTGGTTAGAAGTGATTTGGGAACTAGAGGAAGGGATCGGGCAGTAGGGGGTGGGGGGGTGCTGTCCTTGGCATAGTACCACTCCTTATGTGGGCATCAAGTGCCGGCCGCGGGAGGGTTTCCTGTCCTTTTCTGTGAGCAGCTGGGATGCCCAATGGAAGGAGCGAGTGTGCTTCCTGGGTGTCTGGTGGGCATGCGTGACTGCTTGTGGACTACGTGCATGTTGTCCAGGTACGCTGATGCCCGTTCTTCCCTTGCTAGGTGCCACATCAGCCAGCAGCCTCCTCCAAGGCCTCAGCTTCAGCTTACAGGACATCAGCAGCAAGACTTCCGGCCTCCCAGCAAATCCCCCCCCAGGGCCCGCCCCACAGGTGCAGACCTGCACTCCCCGGCCGGCAGCTGTGGGAGGAGGCTGTCTCAGTTCATTTGATTTTGGCAGGGACACTTGGTGTGGGGACAGCAAGTCCAGGACAGGCAATTCTGAGTGCACAGTTGAGAGCGATCAGAGATTACGATTCTGTCCCTTACTGGGTGGCCTTTGACCTGTGTGTGTCTTTGTTTCCTTGACTGTAATGGTAATGGTGCCTGCCCTGCAGTGTCTGTGAGCATTACTAATACATGCCCCAAAGAGCACCTTGTACATGATGGGCACCTTTAATAGTGCGCTCTGGGCCCCTCCAGACGGGCTGACCCTGGCCTGCATGTCCCACAGGCCACCACTGTGAAGTTGCCCGCCCCCATGCAGAGCCTGGGGGCTATCACCACGGGCACCAGCACCATCGTCCGGACCATTCCTGTGGCCACCACGCTCTCCTCTTTGGGTGCCACTCCTGGGGGGAAGCCCACAGCCATCCACCAGCTGCTGACCAACGGGGGCCTCGTCAAGCTGGCCAGCAGCCTCCCCGGCCTGGCTCAGGTCTCTAACCAAGCACCAGGTGAGTCTCCGGACAAACGTGGCCACTCCCCACTCTGGGAGCTTCCCTCAGAACCTTCCCATCTCACATGGGCAAGGTGTGATGAAGCACCCCAGCCCACAGCGTCCCAGCGCTGACTCTCAGGCCTTCAGCAGTGTGGACCCCACCCCCCACCCCCCACAGGCTCCGAGAACCCAGGCACTCTCCTCTTGCCTCTCGGACTGGCCAGCTGGCAAGGAGGCCTGGGTTGTTGGTGTTGGCAGTGACAGAAGACCTTGCTTCCGTGTCTCCCTCTCAGGCTTGAAGGTTCCCACCACCATCACCCTGACACTGCGTGGCCAGCCAAGCCGAGTCACCACCCTGAGCCCCATGAGCTCAGCAGCAGCTCTGTCGGAGGAGCCCAGCCCCCAGGCCCTGCCCTCCGGCCCACAGGTGAGTGTGCCCGGGAGGACTGAGGACGTGAGCTTCAGGGCTGGGCAGTTTGAGGCTGGCTGATCGCAGACGCGCCCTGGAGATCACATTCAAACCCAGACTCAGGCTTTGTAGCTGAGCAAGCCCCGCAGCTCTGTGAATGTCTCCTTTTCTGTAACATTCCCTGGATTGTGGTGAGGATTAAATATGAAGGTTGTTTAAATATGTGCCTGCTAGTTAATGTCTGCTCCTTCCCGGTTTCCTCAGCCAGGAGTTGTACTTGAGGTTAGTTCTTTGAACACGCTGCTTTCCAGCCCCGCCCCTTCACAGATGTTGGACTGTGCCCCTTCACGGCTACCTTTCGAGGGCACAGATCAAATATGTGCAGTGTTAAACGGTGATCGAGGAGCCCCTCCCCCAGTTGGAGGTGAGTGAGGAGCACAGCCCAACTGGAGTGTCGTGTCGAGAGTGCTTTCCTTCACTGTCCACTGAGTTGGCCCAGGTGCTACGTGGGCCATGGCGCCTTCCAGGGACGTACCCGGGGGCGGTGAGCAGAGCGCTGTGCCCCACCCATTCCACAAGTCCCGTGTCGTTTCGCCGCCCCCCCC